TGCTAAAATTAGCTGATTAAAATTCTATTTATCTGACTTGGCGCCTGCAGCCCAGTGGTTAGGGCACCAGCCACAAACACTGGAGCTTGCAGGTTTAAATCCAGCCCAGGCCTGCCAAACAACAATGACAACCACAACCAAAAAATAGCTGGGTGTTGTGGTGGGGGCCTATAGTCCCAGCTACTTGGGAGACTAAGGCAAGAGAATTGCTTAAGCCCAAAAGTTTGAGGTTCCTTTGAGCTGTGATACTACGGTACTCTACCGAGGGCAACAGCTTGAGACTCTGTCTCAAAAAAATATAAATAAATAAAACTCTGTTTACCAAAAAACTAATTGCAGCAATATTATCCTTGAATTACAAATTAGTTATTTCTAGGGTTCATTAATTAATTTAGTCAACAAATATTTGGAAGTTACTATGTGAGGCACTGAACTACCCAGCCATTATGGGATGCAGGGATAAAAGGGGTTCTGTCCATATGAAGTGACCTAATGAGGGAGAAAGACAATACTAATGCCACCTTGGGAGTCAGAAATGTTAAAAGAAGTTACAGGCAGGGAGTACTTGAGGTGTGCCAGTAGTAAAGGTCTTCCTGGAGACTTGGGGCATTTTGAGGAGCCTGCCTTGGGAAGAATGAGGGCCCCCTGAGGAGTGCTCAAGGAAGCTTCAAAGGCTCCAGGCCCAGACTAAGGAAGTGAGCACAACTAAGGGGCTGGAGAGTGGAAGGGGAGTAGGGTGAAGTAAGGAAGAGGGAACAGAGGCCAGACCATCTGGGCATTACTGGCTGTGGCAAGGAGTCTGGATTTTATTCAGGATGTGGTAGGGAGGGCTGTAAGCAAGGAAGTGATGTTATTTAAGTTTTAAAAGGTGATTCTGTTATATGGACAAGAGACAGAAGAAGAAGCAAGAATGGAAGCAGAGAATGATGAGAAGGTCAGGGAAATGGGGAAAAATGACCAGATTCAAGAGATAATGAGGAGGGAGAATTGGCGGAACTTGACAAAGATTGTCTGGGGCCTGGGATTTGAAGGAGCAGTGTGTCAATGATGACAGAGCAGATAGGTATGGAATTTGATGAGAGGATTTGAGGTAGCTCTAGGGTACCAACCACCGCCTAGCATGCAATACCCTGAAAAGAACAACCTGCCCCCTCACTGGCACACACATGCCCACCTTCCTGACTCTGGGCAGTACGATAAAGTCAGCAAAGTTTGTCTTGGATTCCATGTTCACCACCCCTCCGCTCTCAATTCCTCCAACCCAGACCCAGTCCTCACACTGACTTAACTCTGGTCCACTATGCTCAGAATTAGAGGCTATGGCCTCGAAATCAGAAATTTGGTGGGGATTGCCTTAAGGGTCTGATAAACACCCTTAGCTGATGTGTGGATGGGCAGTGTACTTTCCTCATCTGGGTCCATAGAGTCCCCTTGTTATGTGTCAGAGCCCCAGGAGGAGTAAGGGCTAAGTAATGGCAAGGTTCTCCTTTGGAGGAAAGCTCCAGCAAGGAGCTTGGTCCCAGCCATGCCTTCATGAATCCTAAATAAGGGACCAGAAAAGTCGAGTGAGGAACTGGCCATGTTAGGCTGGGCTCTGGGCTAGACAAGAATTTGCCCTTCAAAAGCAAGAGGAAGACTCAGAGCTCAGGGAGAGGAATTGGGAGGCCTGGGGTAGGGGAGCTGTCAGAGTTGGTTATGATGCACTATATAGTGTATAGTGTAGGGCTAGCCTTATAGCAGGCAGTTGTGACATCACCAAACTGGAGAACTAGAGTAGTGCCACTACCACCAACTCTTTCCTTCCACCCTTGCCAAGGATCTGGATGCATTGCCTCAAGGCTATACATATCTGATCCCACTTCTGACCTCTGTTTTCACTGAATCTCTCTGAGGCTCCTGTGTGAGTATGAGGAGGAGTTCTAGACCCTCCTGATTCAGGGCCTGACACAGATCCTCAATACACTTGTGTTGAATGAATAAACCAGGTTATTGCAGTCCTCTAGGTGAGGAATGACTGAACACTGGCCTGGGAAGATGACATTGGAGATAGAGAAAAGGAGACATTTAATATATGTCTGTAAAGTAGAAAGGACAGTAGTTACTGATGAATGAAGTAATCTATGAATTCCACATTGGACTCTATTTCATGTTAATTTTTTATTTGTCAAAATGGTGGGGGGAGAGAAGTCATATTTTTGTGGATGGATACTGAAGTACATTACCGCATACTTTGAGCAATAGTAGATACTAAAGGAACTTCAAAGCAATGACAAAATATCATATATGTCACTGATTGGACTATCAAGAAATGCTTAGAAGTAAAAAAAATTGACATAGCTATGATTTAATTTAAAAAAGATATGTTCACAGCATAACGTATGTAGTAAAATGAAAAAAGTTTTAAAAAAATTGAAGAATTCATCACAAGTTCTGACATTAAGAAAATTGGGGGAGGCTCAGCGCCTGTGGCTCAAGTGGCTAAGGCGCCAGCCACATACACCTAAGGTGGTGGGTTCAAATCCAGCCTGGGCCCACCAAACAACAATGATGGCTGCAACCAAAAAATAGCTGGGCATTGTGGCGGGCGCCTGTGGTCCCAGCTACTTGGGAGGCTGAGGCAGGAGACTCGCTTGAGCCCAGGAGTTGGAGGTTGCTGTGAGCTGTGTGCCACGGCACTCTACCCAGGGTGACAGCTTGAGGCTCTGTCTCAAAAAAATAAGGGGGGGGGGAGAAAAAAATAGAAAATTGGGGGAATTCATTTAGTGTGTAGACAGGCTTTTTTGTTGTTGTTTGTTTTGAGACAGAGTCTAGCTCTATTGCCAGGGCTAGAGTGCAGTGGCATCATCACAGCTCACTGTAGCCTCCAACTCCAGGGCTCAAGGGATCCTCTTGCCTTAGCCTCCTGAGTAGCTGAGGCTATAGGTGCACACCACAATGCCTGTCTGGCTGGCTTGCTTATGTCCGTGTGTATGCACGTATGCATGTACATACATATGGAGATGGATCTTGTTATATTACCAGGGTGGGGTTTTTTTTCCCACAAAATTTAGCCACAGAATAATTCATCCTCTTCAACCTCAAATAAATGGCACTTGATAGGCTCTCAATAAATACTTCTTGAATGCATTGGGTGAATGAATGAATCTATCAGTTTGGCAAGTGTTTTGGAGAGTGAAATTGCTTTGTAAGCCAGACTAGACCAGGCCAAAGAATGAGTGAGAAACTTGATGCTGCTTATCCCCAAGTGTTTCTTCTGGCACCAAAGGGCCTGGAATGCAAAAACTGCTACATGGGATAATATTGAAAGGCAGTGCTATATAATTTATTGTGTGCCTGGGAGCATCTAGGCAACTTGTATACATTATTTTTAGTTTTCACTGGAAGGTAAATATCCACATTTTATGGGTGAGGAAATTAAATTTTAGTAATGTCAAAATACACAACTGCCAAATAGTGGTGCTGGAATTCAAAATTATGTTTGACTAACTCCGTAGACTCTGTGAAACCAGATGTCACAGGAAACATTCTTGAACTAAAACCTGTGGGTGAAAGCATTCACAGAGTTAAAGAGGCCATGGATTATAAAGTGAAATCAAATCAAACTGTCAGTTTGGTTGTAGCTTACAGTTTTTCTACAATAAAAATTTCCATAGTGATGTTATTGAGGGATAAACCACCATTTCATTCATTTGATAATTATTGAGTGTTTTCTCATCTTATACAATGTAGCTCTGAAATACAACCCATTAAAAATATGTAAGATGTCACTTGTGCCCTCATAGAGCTTATCATCTAGAGTAGTGATTTTCAACCAGTGTGCCAT